TCTAGTTGCTTTTTCAACTCGACTAATTCCGAAGGAGACATTCTATAGGGAACCTTGGAGATTGGGGTGGTTCCCGGAACCAACTCTATGGAGAACTCCACTTCTCGCTCTGGAGGTAGTCCTGCAACCTCGTCCGAAAACACTTCGGGGTAGTCCCTCACCACAGCTATCTGTTCAATTCCTCCTGCCTCATCCTCACTAATTGAAAAGAAGACAATGAAGGCCTGGCACCCTTTCCTCACCGCCTTCTCTACTTGAGCAGCTGACAACAAAACCGGACCACTTGACATTTCAGCACATAAGGCACCTACCGGGATTGTCACCAACCTCCTTTTACAATCAAGGATTGCTCCATTGGCCATCAACCAGTTCATGCCAATAATCACGTCAATACCTTTCAGAGGTAGACAAAACAAATCTATTGTAGAATCTCGCTTCTCAAACTGAAGTGCAAGCTCTAGACACGCTCTTCCAGTTACTACAGTGACTCCAGCAGGAGTAGACACCTTAAGTCATAAGGTAGCTCAACCACAGGCAAGCTCAACTTCTGAGCACAGTCCACAGAAATAAAGGAGTGCGTAGCACCCGAGTCAAATAAAGCAGAAATAACATGTCCCTCAAGTAGAATGTTACCTCGAATCAAGTTCGGAGATGCAGAAGCCTCCTCATTTGTCATCGCATAGACACGCCCTGGAACAGTAGAACGACCAGCTGAGGTGTCGGCTGACTCTCTGGACAGTTTCTGGCAATATGTCCCCACCGGTGGCATCGAAAGCACTCCCAGCATTGCCCCGCATGCCTACCCCCACATCTGGGGCACGGTCCAGTAACACTTGGAGTGGTCACTGAAGAATCTCGACGGGAGCCCTGTCCCCCGCCAGCTTGATTGTTTGGATTCTGGCGCCTCTGCATAAAGCCCCTCTGAGCATTCACCCTCTGATTCTGCCCTTGATTCCTATTTCTCCCTGAGCTACTCGAGCTCCCAGAGCTATATTGACTCCTCTTCCCCACTCCTCCTGTAGGACCAGGATAACGGGCCGCTCTAGCTTGATTCTCAGCCCTCCTTGCCTCTACCACCTCTCTTGTCCTTCTAGCCGCAACCCGCAGCTTCACACACATCTCCTCAAAGGTTTGACCTCTAACAAGGCCAATTGCTGTTTCAACTCCGGCCTTGCACGGTTCATCAATTGTTGAGCTAACCAGAGTGAATGATCTTCCGTCTGCCTTGGCACATACTTTGCCAAATCTATAAACCTTGTGATAAATTAGTCCTCATGCATCTCGCCCTGCTTCAAAGAATAGAATAGGAATTGCTTTTCCATTCGCAACTCCTTTGGAAAGAAGTGATCATAAAACATCCGCTTGAAAGTATCCCAATCCAGCTGAGATATATCAGAGGGTCTCGTACTATCCCACCAATGTCTTGCTTGCTCCACAAGATAGGTGACCGCCACTTGTACCTTGAGCGGAGAAAGACAAGGAACAGCAGTAAAGATTGTCTCCATCCGCTCAATCCATTTTTCTGCATCTGATGGTTCCAAACTTCCTTTGAACTGGGGAGGATCATGACGATGCACCTCTCTCCATACCTTAGTGATATCATTCAGCAACAGAGGGTAAATCACTCCCTCTGAAGTGCCTCCTCCCTGGCTATCAGCTCGATACTCCTCCCTCTGAGGTAAATCTTCAGCTCGATCACCACTCCTAACCCCTCTTTCTCCTACTCCTCGTGCTTCTATAGTCACCTCATTCTCTCGGTCCTCTTGATTGACCGACTCTTGGTGCTTCCTGTGAAGTCTTCTTCAAACTTCCTCAACCTTTCATCCACCACCGCCGTCATCATCTCCCTCATTTGTCTCAGAAAAGCCTCACTCTCTTGAGGCGGTCCATTACCGGCTGGATCTGTTTGACGTGTCCGTACCATCCTTCCTCTCCCCAACTAAGGATGGAAACCCTCATTAGTAAAGAAAGAAAGGAAACACAAAACAAACAGGGAAGGTATGTATGAAGTATGTATATTGCCACTAGGAAAAGAAACAATTTCAAAGAAACAAACCGGCTCTGAATACCAATTTGTAAGACCCTTAACCTCAAAACATTATAACTCGTCATAAGACCACTACTATGGTAGAAAAAGAAAGATGTTACAACAACTACCATAGTAGAAAGAAATTGCGTAATTTTAGAAAATTAACATTTAAAACTTGGTTCCATCTTAAATGCAGTTGCATGCAACTATCATCATTCAATCACAATCACTGGGCCTTCGAGCCTCCGGCCCGGGTAACGACATACATCAAAATCAGCCCATCCCAATAGATCTCAACCACGAATAACAAAGTTTCATAAAATAATAGGAATGGCCTCCGGCCAACAAAACGAGTAGATAATATATTCTCCAGTTTACAAAATAATAAAAAGGGCCTCCGGCCCAATTGAAATAAGAAGAAGATACACTTCCTCCAGTTTACGAATAAACGGGCAATCAAAATAGTTTAAAAGGACCCTAAACGTGGCAATATACAACTATCCATACATAAATAAAGCTAGAGGCCTAAAGCTAACCAAGCTCAAGCCTCTGCGTCTCTTCCCGAAGGCGCACGCCTAGAACCTTCACCTGAAAATATTGTAAACCACGGGGTGAGACAAAGTCCCAGTAACCAACCTTTCCAATACTAGGTACTACTAAATAGGTGCTCGTGAGGTGTCAAGTGGGGCAGTTCACAAATCATATATATATATATTGATAGCCACAACAATTCATGCAAGTGCAATGATGCAATCCCATCAATCAAATCCCTCACTTTGGGGGATTTTCAGGAGCCGAACCCGGCCTATCCCTCACTATGGGGGACGTAAGGAGCCATAAAGGCCTATCCCTCACTCTGGGGGACGTAATGAGCCCGAAGGCCTATCCCTCACTATGGGGGACGTAAAGAGCCAACCATCATGCATTAATGGAGGCCTTACCACGTGGTAGTAACTATCAAACTCTCACCAAATCCCAAATTATGCATCATGCTCAAATCATAATCAAGAGTAATAATCATTTCACAATTAACCTCATTCAATGGCATATCTTTCACAATTCCAAAATTCATTTCACAATTCCAAAATTCATTCATCATTAGTCGAAAACCCCACAAGACGGTTTTCCCTTTCTATATACAACATATAGTTTGAACACAATTACTACTTGGAGCATAAAACACAAATCTACTCACAATACCACAGAAGCAAGTACTAAGGATTGGAAAGTGGTTACCTCTCGCCTGAGCAAGGAACAACAAACCAACGATGTGGCCCCGTGCACCACCGAGACTCACAACCGGTCTACACAAGCACACAAACACACAACCAACATATATTAGCTCTCAAACTAATAATGTGGCCAAAACAACACTTAGGGACACAAAATTCCTATCTCCCATCAAAACTCTACCCAACTCAAAGGGTATAACTATCAAAACAACACTCCAAAGTCCTCAAAGTCTATTAAAACATCGAATCTCCTTCGAAGCATCAATTATAGTTCAAACCTCAAGGACCCACTATAGGAATTCTACACCCAAACATCCCATTTGAGCAATTAAGGTTCCAACAACAATTCTAAACCGATTAAACACCCAATTTAACCCTCCTTAACATAACCCAATTCACAAAACCCAAAATCAATCTCTACATTGTCATCCTCAATCCCAAATCATCCAATTCCATAAACCCTAGCTCCAAAAATTCAAGATTCTTTAAATCCAAGGAAACTACACCGATTAAATACTTAAACTAACCCAATGCAATCAATTAAACTCGAAACAATCGGTCAAAAACCTCAGTTCCATCATAACTTAGAAAAACCTAGAGTTCCACTAAAAATCCTCAGAAATTCCAAGTAATTCCAAGAAAAAAGAAGATTAGAGGTTAAAATCACTTACTTGAGGTAATGGATCCTTAGAAATGTCTCCTCCAAGCCTCAAAACCGAAACCCTAGCAGAGCTCCTCTCTCCTCCTTCAGATTTTCTAATTTTCGCAACACTGAACCCTCCAGCGATTATATAGAATCGCGACCTTTCGCCGCGGCGAACTCCATCTTCGCTGCGGCGAACTAATCCCGAGAGGGATTACTCGCCTGAAAAAACCGACTTCGCCGCGGCGAACTCCAAACTTCGCCGCGGCGAAAGCTTCCCGAGAGGAAACTCTCACTCGCCCAGAAGAACTTCGCCGCGGCGTGCCCTTACCTTCGCCGCGGTGAAACCTTCCCGAAAGGGAAGCCTCGCTCACCAAAACAACTTCGCCGCGGCGTCCCCCAGACTTCGCCGCGACCAAACCTTCCCGAGAAGACACTCCCCTCTGAAACTCCCGGTGCGCCGCGGCGAACATACCCTGAGAGGGGTACGTTCACCTATGCCTCCAATCAACCTCAAATCCAACCCAAACACCAAGATCAAGATTAAATTGCTAATCTATCCTCAAAATCAACCCAAAAGAGGCTATTAAAACCCGATCAAACTTAGGATGTTACAGCAACTATCAGAGTGAAATCTATATCAGCTTTACATAAGGGGGGATTTTTTTAGTTAGGTAATTGAATCTATAATGGAAATAAACAAACTAGGATGCTTTACACATGATTAACTTGCAACATTCTCATTTCATGAGTTTTACGTCAAGAGCAACCAAATGCTTATGCCATCACCATTACACAACACTCATGCACCGACTATGATGAACGTAATATGGAAGCAACAACACAATCAGATGTTTGTACTTTGATAGCTCGAAGAATGAGGTTTCTTAGATAGAAGCCAATTCCAATAATACAACAATAAATATAAAACGAATAACCATAAAAAGCAAATGAAAGCAAAAAGGCCTAATTTACAGAAGTTACGAATAAGGGTTGGGAATTACAAATGTTTGTATACAACAATAAATATAAAACTCCAATAAAAAAGCATATATATCAAAGACCAGTATACATTAAAGCTTGCCTAAATGTGTACCTCATTTTCCATGTCCCAGAATGACTTGCAGAGAATCCAATCAACCAAATGAAGTGCTAATCCTCTGCAATGTCACTAGTTAAGGTAGTACTAAAAGGCAGTCACTTAGTACCAGTAGAAATATTTTCAACAAAACTAGAAGGGAGATCTGAACCTTGAAATAAAAAGTAACCCACAAATAAAATGAAATCTAAAAGGGAATCTGAACTAGAAGATGAAAACAAGAAATAGAATGCCAAGAAGCTACCTAGTGACAAATCTGAACGCTAACGATGAAAATAGAGGAGGCTGACATAACGGAGTAGAATCTAAACTTTGAAGAGGAGACCAAAGAATGTGAACGGACACAACAACACAAACAAAAGGCCGACACTTTGAGTCTCAAAACCTGCACATTCAGGCGCGATTTGATCTGAGGAGGGGAAATGGAAGAAGAGTAGGAGTGGAGGATTGGAGGTGCCTTTGCTGGACTGGCAGACGATGGTGAAGGGGTTTCATTAGAGAAATAAACCCTTAGGCGTTGAGGAAACCCTTAGAAGTGGTCTGGCTCCTCCTCTTGCGATTCTTGTAATTTTTTAAAAGAAGGAAATTAGAAAAAAAATCCTAAAGAGAGCAAATTTGTGATATTTGTGGAGGGAAAATGAATTTTGCCTTTGCAAACGGAGGGAACATGCGAATATTTTGGAGGGCCAAGATTTTTCATACACATATAGATATAAAATCTAATTAAATGTTTCTTCAGTAAAAAATTATAAAATAAAATTGTTATTATAGAAAATATACTTAGCATTAAAATGATAAATTAATTATTAAAATTATTCCTTTTAATTATAATACCTCTCTCTCACATATATTATCTCACTTTTAATTATATCACATCTCTCTCTCACACATTCTATCTTTCAGTACCTTCCCTCTCAACTTTCCCTCCTTTTTTTTCCTAGCAATTTTTGCCATCTAAGCATGTAATTAGGGAAAATTAATACATACCTCAAAACCTAAATAGTAATAATAATATAGAAATACTGTCCAATAATGTTAAACTAATATCATACATATATATAGTGATATAAATATAAGATATATCAAGAAATAAGCATTAAAAAGAATATAATAATGTTAAAATAAAAAACATAAATATAAGACACTTCAATAATAAAGATTTAAACCGCAGTTTATTCGAAATATTTTTATCAAATTTAATACAAATATATTTGAAATCTTTGACAATAAAATATAGATATATTTAAATATGAAATTTACAAATTAAATTTAATCCACAGGATTATAATGATAGGGGCAGAATCTCTAACTTATATGCTACCAGGATGAATTTTTTTTTTTTAAGTAAAGTTGTCAAGCTTTTTATAATATTCTAATCAAATATTTTTAGATCTAATAAGATTTTTCTTATTATAGTCTTAGATCTACTCTATAATCTCTAATTTTCTTTTCTAATTATCATTTCTCAATTTCAAGATGACTAAAAAGAAATTCAAAATATTTATAATTATTGTTTTAGAAATTCAAGATATTGATTCTCTTTTTATACTTTACCATCCCCTTATTTATTTTAAATATTCTTATATATAATTTCATTATCAAATGAGCATTTACTATTACTCCAAGTCGCAAACGAGAATTAGGACACACACACTATAGATTATATTTAATAACATGGACCATCAGTTGAGTACTTCAGTCAAATAATGAAGCTAACCCAACATACTCGCTTTTTGATCTAAACTAACCTTGCCAAAACTTCTTTTGAACTTTCTTTTTTTCCGAACAGATCAAGTATATGCAAATTGAGTTAAATTGACCTCGTTATTAGGTTTCCAGCTTAACTCTATAGTTTATGGCGCCCTTATTATTCATTCAATGGAAATAAGTCAATAAATAATATTTCAATATGTTGTTAAATAAGTTATCAATTAGGTAAAAGTTCAACATGTCTTTACGTTTTCCACATATCTCATCATATCTAAAGAAACTTTTCACATATCTTATCATATCTAAAGACACTTATTTGACACTAATGTTGAAAGAAAGAGCAGCAATCTGACAAAAAAATTAATCATATTGTAACAAGAAAATAAAATCATATTACGAATTATATTCAGATTTTTAATTTAAGTTCACAAGCTCAAAAAAATATAATCAATTTCAAAAAAGTGTCTAATAAGGATATCAATTTTCTTCTATTTCCCAACAGGAAATATGTATAAATAATTAAACTATTATATTATATATATATATAGATATATAAATTGTTAAAATACATGTCTAAATAATTACACTATTATATTATATAAATTTTTCAAATTTTATAATCATAATGTAGAATTTTGTGAATTTCATGTTAGCGATGGATTTTGTGACAGAATTTTGTGACGGAAACAAATTCTGTCAGAAAATCTGTCACAAAATAGGAGTAGAAATTAGCAACGGAATTTAGTGATGGAATTAGTGACGAAATTTTGCGACAGAAATATTCCATCGCAAAATTCCATCACTAAGCCTATTTACTGATGGAATTTGCAACGGAACTATTCCGTCGCTAAAGTCTGTCGGAAATCCGTTCCAAATTCGTCGAAAAAATTACTGACGGAATTTCTGTCGAATTTCCGTCAGAAATTAGCGACGGAAAATATTCCGTTGGAAATTAGCAACGGAAAATTTTTTTTGTCGCTAATTCCGTCGCTAATAGACTGTTTTTTTGTAGTGATTTTATATAATATTTTAATTTAGTTATTTAATTTTAAAAAGTATATTTTTAGTCCTTTACCTCTAAACCGGTTAACAAAAAAATGATATTAAGATTTTGAATGTCAATAAAACATTCTTAAGTACTAACATATTGAGCTTAATTTCCAAAACAATCATGATTATTATAGAAACACATCATTTAATACTAATAATTTTAAGATTAAAAGGACTAAAAATATATTTCTTAAAATAAAAAAAAAAAATGTACACTTTTGTCAAATATAAGACTACAAGTATATGCAGCATCTATTGCATTTAATCAGTTGACTATTAAAGATATAAGCAAAACATAACAGTTCTAGAACATGTATATCCACGGACTTAATGGATGTAAACAAATGGATATATATATGGAGGCTTATACAGCATTAACTTTCCATAACACTGTATCAAAGAGATTAGAGCGGCGAAATTAAATTGTGTCAAAATGGCTGCAAGAGTTTCACAAACCCATCTCTTCACTGCGATGTTTATGTGCTTTCTTTTGTTTTTAGCCTCAGGTAATTATTCTTGTTTCAACAGAAAATGGCAAAAAATACGTATTGAATTTCAGAAAGATAAATATGTCATGCTGATTATTCTTGTACTAGTTTTTTTCTGAATAATTTTTTTTGAATAATGATTTTTACTACTCTAGTAATAGTTTTAACATGTCAAAATTTGTCAAATTCACTTATTTATTATTTTGAAATTTAGTAGATATTTTTTGTTATTTTTCCTAATTTCAGTTCTCATGCTATGAGTATCAAATCCTTTTCTCTTTTGTTTGTTTTCCCCCCTCAAAATACAAGTATTCAAAATTATATTCTGTCAAAGTTATTACATGCATCTTGTAAAAACAAGTAAACAATATACATTTTTTTTCACGCACAAACGTGTCAACAGCTTCAACATTTTCAACAATACTAAAGGATATGTTAATATTTTATACATTTTTATTTGAATATTATTTTAATTATGACTAATAATCTTGAGTTGGCCTCAACTTAAACCACTAACTCTTGAACTACTATTCTAACTGGTTTAATTATTCCAATTTTCAGTACCCTACAAACTTCTATCATTATTCATTATTGTTGATTCATCTATTGAAACTAAGAGTTACAAAAATATATTTGCCCCAGGCATATAAATCTCCTTTCAATTATAATATTTCTGTTGACTTTTGCACAATTTTTTCGTTTATGCTTTTTTTAATGTCTATACACAACTTTCTTTTTAGAACAAAGATTAAAGTACACAAATTTTTGCTTGTATTGTTTTTAAAAACAATATGGACGACTCTCCCTATAATATTGACGATTTGGATATGTAATTAATTATCTATTGGCTGCAAAAAAATTCTATATTATGTTTTTAAAAATAAACAAAAGAAATTGCGTGATTGTATTTTACATTTTTAAAAGCTTATGCATGTTTCAATAGTCAAGGCAAAAAAAAAAAAAGCATGTTTCAAAAGTAAAGATAAAATCAGATCAATTGTTTTTTGTAACCAAGTTTATTAATAAAGTACGTTATACATATATATATGTATATTTATATATTGGATGATAATATGCAGAGCCAGCATATGGAATAACTCGTCATGATCCACAGTTCTTATGCATAGGGCCTTGTTCTTTATATGGATAATCTAATCATCAATGCAATGCAACGACGCTTGCACTAAAAGGGGACTATCCAAGGGAGGGTTCTGCTTTGAAGAAAGTCCATCAGGAGATTCTCAATGGTGTTGCAAAAATTTCTGGGTTATATTTTATTATATTGCAGTGCACTCTTCTTCTAAAATAGACCCCTCAATTACTTACTATATTATTTTTAGGAGCGAAAGGAATATATTATATATTCTGATATTGTAATAAATTGCTTTATATATATGTATAAGGGAAAACACAAAATGAATATAAAAATTACTAAATCTCAAGTTTGGATTGTTTCCTATATTTTAATAATTTTTAACTTTTAACTACACTTTACTTGCAAATAAGGACACATTTTTTATAAATTCACGGTTTAAAATTTAATAATTTTCAGGCTTTTTTGGTGAGACTTTCTTTATAAAATACAACATTTAGAACGTATGTTGGTCGAACTAAGGTAGGATTTGCTTTTATAAAATGTGAAATTGGTGAGTTTACTGAGTTAAACGGGTAAGTTCACAACATGCGCACACGCACCATGTATATAATATCCCCACCCTCCCCCCGCCAAAAAAGAAAAAAAGAAAAAAAAACCCACTTGTAAGGCTTTTGGATTGACGTTGATTTACCAATTCATTTCCGGTATCAAATTGTTCAGTCTTTTTTAACATTTCATATACCATAATTCCTTCTTCTCCCAAAAAAAAGGTTGATGATTTGTAGGCCTTTTATCTAGATGCAGTATTGTTCCGTCTGGCTTTTGCCCATTCCAGAAACTTTCCCACCACTACTTCCCCTAAGAGTCTATCTTTCTCATTTAATTAGGAGGGAGTCTACTGTTTTCATTCAATTTTTTTTTTGAATGAAAAGGGAAGTATTACTCAAAGAAGAGAGTCAACGAGTTACAAGATATGTACAACAAGACAAAGCCTACCAAGAAAGCCAAAAGAAAACAGAGTAAAAGATATCAGTGAGGCAGCCTCATGATGTCATTAACAATTCTAGCTCTAACAGTGTGATTAACAAAAACGTCAGAGCTGACTAATAGTTCAGATGCCCCGAAAGATTCTCCAGCAAAGAGGCG